CCGTGGCCCATCCGCAAGCTAACGGCTAGGTCGAGGTAACCAATCGAATTATACTGAATAGGCTGAATACAAAGTTGGAAAAGGCCTCGGGAGCATGGGTCGATGAGCTGAGTTCCGTACTCTGGGCGTATCGCACAACTCCAAGGTCGACCACAGGAGAAACCTCTTTCAGTTTAGCTTATGGGATGGAAGCATTGCTGCCGGTCGAGATCGACTTATCTTCCCAGAGGTCGATCACGTATAATGCTGAACAGAACCAGGATCTGATGATGGTGGCCTTAGATACTATCGAGGAGCTGCGTGGGAGAGCGGCAATCAGGGTGGAGGCGTACAAGCAGAGGATGCGAGTCTCTCACGACAAAAAGTGAAAATTTGCAAGCTCCAAGTGGGAGACCTGGTCTGGAAGCGTGTCGACGTGCTCAAACATGTAGGGAAGCTGGAGCCGAACTGGGAAGGATCATACTTGGTCGAGCGAGTGCACGCAGGAGGAGCGTAATCGCTGAAGGATGCTGAAGGCTGATCACTCGCCAGGTCATGGAACATAGCTAATTTGAAAAAATATTATGTGTGAAAATTTTTATTTCTTTTGAAAAGAAAACTGAGAAATTCAAACGGAGATGTAAATTGCAAAGTTTGCTCAAAAGACAATGAAGTTCAATGATTTTTCCGATTCTATTCGCTTTATTGTACATCTTCTTATGCTTGGAATGTTGGTATGATTTGAATGACAGGATATGTATGGTATGGTTTGACTTGAGAATCGCTTGTTTAGAACATTCCTTGGTGTGGGCAGGTTGGTCGAAAGACCTCCTGTTTAGAACATTCCTCGGGGTGGGCAAGTGTGAAGACCAAAATCCACCAGGAATAAGGCCCTCAGGCTGGGTGGTCGCTTGTTTAGAACATTCCTTGGGGTGGGCAGGTTGGTCGAAAAACCTCCTGTTTAGAACATTCCTTGGGGTGGACAAGTGTGAAGACCAACACCTACCCTAAAGATCGTATAATCGGGTGAGAAAACATGGGGCAAAGAGCACCAGGATTTGCACAGTTACAAGACTAGAGGACGAGCACAAATCTTCAACCACACAAAAGAAGTCCAAGGGAGCAGAAAATCCGTCATGTTTAAGGCCGTGAGGCTGGACGGTTGCATGCATCGACCACCTCCAGGGGTGGGCATGTGCTTAAAAGTTTAAAACCCGTCATGTTTAAGGCCACATGGCTGGACGGTCGCATGCATCGACCACCTCCAGGGGTGGGCATGTGTTTAAAAATTTAAAACCCGTCATGTTTAAGGCCACATGGCTGGACGGTCGCATGCATCGACCGCCTCCAAGGGTGGGCATGTGTTTAAAAGTTTAAAACCCGTCATGTCTAAGGCCACATGGCCGGACGGTCGCATGCATCGACCACCTCCAGGGGTGGGCATGTGTTTAAAAGTTTAAAACCCGCCATGTTTAAGGCCGTGAGGCTGGACGGTCGCATGCACAGACCACCTCCAGGGGTGGGCATGTGTTTAAAAGTTTAAGACCCGTCATGTTTAAAGCCACAAGGCTGGACGGTCACATGCATCGACCACCTCCAGGGGTGGGCACGTGTATATATGTGAAGCGAAAAGAGTAAATTATCCAAGCACTCACGAGGTGTTCTAATGAAGATATCAAATCAAAACTACAAACATGCATTATTGAAGACCAAGACAAGTCAAAAACAAAATACTATCATTTCACGAATATTACATAGTTCGTTGGAATACATAATAAAGATTCAAAACAGGCAAAATGGAAAACGTAAATGGTCGTGCTGTCGTAGTCACCCAAATTAACCTTGCTTAAAAATATGTAGTAGTGTGAGCAAGGATCGTATCCACGGGGAATAATTTAATAAAATGACTGTAACTATGTGATTAAAATGGGGGAGAATTGATTTACAAACCTAATTATCTAATTAACAAGAAAATGAAGAAGGTATTGGTAAAGATTATTAAATAAAAGACTCAAAAGTAACAGCAAGATGAAGATGAATATATAGGTAAAGTGCTCCGGTTGAATTGATTTCCACCTCGAATTATTCTACTGATCCTTGATGCAGATATTATCAATTCATAAATATGCAGATGCCGTTGAATGATGAATTCTGACTCCTAAATTGGCCATGCAAAATAAATCCTCCTACACAATCCTTATTACTAGGCAATTCCCAACATCGTGCAAAATTATCCTAGAAATAGCATTAAGAAGTAGAGCCCGACAACACAAGCAACAAATAACTAATCCGTTAAATGCTAACTTGTATAATTATTTTGCCTAAGAATGAGAACGCCTAAATTCGGTCAATTACCACACTCAGTTGCATCTTACGATAGATAAATCATCTAATCCGACTCAATATCTACCAAGCAATAGATTAAGCGAATAAGACATTAGTTGATCAGGCTTCAATCTTAACACAAAATCATAAACATAAACACACAAAACAATCAATACGAAATATGAATTAATAGGTAAAAACTAATTAGATCTCACAGTATTAAGTTCGGGGTTTCAATCGTATTCAACCGAAGCAAAAGAAAACTAGCCGCGCAGGGCCTCCATAAAGTCTAGCAAAAGTGTAGAAGAAAATATAAAGAAAAGAGAAGTATTTTAAGGTTGCTGCTCGCGTAGATCCCTTCTGTCTGCTCCTTGCGGCTGCTGTACGTGTAATATGTAGGTCTCAAAATCTGATCTGCCCTTTTAATTACAGCTGGCCATTTAATTCTATTGGGCTTAGTATTTAGGGCCCCACATTCAGATAATAAGTTGCGCACTTCCAGTCCATACTGACATGGCCATGTTGAAACAAAATCCAGCACTGCCATGTTGGTTATATATGCACCATGCGATCTAACTGCACAAAAATATCAACAAAGGTAGTTTCTATTCGAAGACACGTAAAAAAGTCGAAAACACATCACTTAAGCAAAAATATTCAGCACATAGTCCAAATTTTACCATAATAGAAACATATATTTTCGACTTATCAAACACCCCCACGCTTAAAATGATGCTTGTCCTCAAGCATCAAGCCAAATCCATTATCTCAACTTACAATCATCTTCTATCATCCAATGCCAATTCAAAACATAAAGCAAGCATCAACACACAAGTCAAACTTGAGTCCCTATCAACCAATCAATGAAAAATATACCCAACAATCACGTAACTTAAACACATGGAAATCAACAATTCTCACAAGATTCACTCTTTCACTCAAAGTGTATAGGCTAAATGTGAAGTGTACGCTCAAGTCAAGACTTAGAAGACTTTTACCATAAGCTTGCAAAGATATCACGTCCAATCACCCAAAATGAATAAGAATAAACACAAAATCAAAGGATTAAAGAAGGTTATAGTGAGGCTTAAGGTAAGGTGGGATAAGGAAGAGAAAGGCTAACGGAATCGAATCAATCACACAAACTCATATAAACCAAGCTCAATGCAAGACAGACGATCATGCTATCTCAATAAGAAACCGACATAAATGAAAATAAAAGAAAAAAAATAATTGCACAATGCCTGATTTCTTTCTTCTTCTCTTTTTTTTTCAGCTTCTGCTTAAGCCTCTTTTCAGTTTTTTTTTTTTAATACGAAATATAAGATAAACTCGCCTACGCTGGACAACAGACTACGTACAAAACACGATCACATCCAAGTACACAATACCATGAGCTCTTTTTCAACTAAAAGGAATTCATGTAATTGATTCGATCCAAGGTTCAAAAGATGGCATCAAAAAAAGGATTTCATTGCTTATGATGTGGTTATAAATCAAAGAAAAAGTCTAAGGCTCAAAAGTGGCTTACTATTGATTCATGGAAAATGGTAAGCTTCAAAATAGAATATATATAAAGTGAAAAGGCTAGTCCTATGTACCCTTGTTAAGATTTTATGCATTCAATTTCATCAAAGGTGTACACATAGACATGCATAGCAAAGCAAGTTCTAGAAAAATCAACTAGTGTAGACATCACCCATTCAAGAAAACGGAGCAAGATATTCAATATATGCTCATAAGCTCAAATCTCACCAATAAGAGGGTCATAACCAAGTGTTAATTCCATGTGTCTCCATCACATAATCATCAAGTAGTATTCATCATCATGTAGCATCAAGGGCTCAAACAAAACAAGTGTACGGACACAAGAAGAAGGGTTGTTCTACTGAATTGGCATAGATGAATTAAAAATGACCACAAGAGAAATAACAATCAAGACTCAACACCATTAAACAAACCTAAAAACTCAAAACTGTGACAAATACTCTTGACCACATTTAAAATATTATGAGGGAAGATAGGCATAGAGACTCACAAAATTTTATCCAGGTGGCATGCATGAACAACCTTTAATTTCCTCAAAAATCTTCCAGATTTGCAGTAAAGCTCTCATGATTCCTTAATCTGTAGTAAGTTCAGGTTGCTGTGGAAAAAGTTCCAGGTTTCTAATGACATGGTCATGTCATCTCAAGCCCAACACCATCAGTCCCAATGTTCGAGCAAAAATTCCTGCAACAGAGAACAGAAAACGTATCAGCAACAGAAATAAATTATATTAAGGCGTGGGCACGGCTTAGAAACTATCATTTAATGTGTACGTGGTTCGCCCATGCCTTCAAAAAAATCGTGTCTACCTTAAAATTACTCCAAGCCCTAAACAAAACTAGAAAAATATCAAAACAAAGACTAACAAAATAAAATAAAAAACAAAATCTAACATAAAAATAAAAATAAAAATTGGGTTGCCTCCCAAAAAGTGCCCTTTTTTATCGTCGTTGGCTCGACATGAAGCTCTCGATTTATTCAGAATAAATGGGGTCCTCGAGGCCCTCTCTTTCTTCATGCTCAGGTTGGAAGTTCTCGTGATATGGCTTAAGTCGATGTCCGTTGACTATGAAAGACTTCAAGCTCGACAGACTCCGAATCTCAACAGCCCCATGAGTACAAACCTTGGTGACTTCAAAAGGTCCTTCTCATCTTGTTCGTAGCTTTCCTGGGAACAATCGAAGACGAGACTGGTACAAGAGAACTTTATGCCCAACTACGAATTGCTTTCTCGAAGTCCTCTTATCATGGAAAGCCTTTGTCTTCTCTTTGTAGATCTTGGTGCACTCATAGGCCCCGTTTCTCATCTCTTCCAGTTCTTGAATTTGTAGTTTTCTATGCTCGCCGCTTGCACTCATCTCCAGAAGCTTCAGGACCTCAGCTTTCACAACATCCAGCACCACCGGATTCAAGCGGTGTTGAGGTTGACGAACAGGTTCAGCACTCGTTTCCCATAAAATGTGATGCGCGCAAATCGAGGGGCTTATTCCTTTTGTGTCCGAGATAGTCCACTCCAATGCTTGCTTGTGTGACTGGAGAACTTTCACGAGCTCGTCTTCTTGAGTTTTGGTAAGCTTGCTCGAAATGATGACTGGAAATGTGTTCTCTTCTCCTTTACCCTTGGTCTCTAAGCCATCATCCATGATCACGTGATTGTCCAATTCATTGGCTTGACCTGGGGCAATGCTAGGCAGTGAGTTGTCTGCGAAAGTCCTGATGGTGTCGCCCACGGTATTATCCTCTGAAAGTGACAAAATTTCCTGAGCCAAATTATCAACCAAGTCAACAGATAGTACGGATTCATCATCACCAGGATACTTCATAGAATTATATATATTAAATTTAATAAATTGATCATCAGATTCCATGGTAAGAATTCCATTATGCACATCAATCATGGTTTTAGACGTTTTTAGAAAAGGTCTTCCAAGTAAAATAGGAGTAGCAGCATTGTTATTCTCCATATCAAGAACATAAAAAACTGCTGGAAAAACCAAGTCTTTAACTTGAACAAGAACGTCCTCAACCACATCCTTCGGAAACGCATTCGATCTGTCCGCCAATTGAATGACAACTCCTGTTGGACTTAAAGGTCCGAGCTTCAAAGAACTATAAATTGCATATGGCATTAAATTAATAGAAGCTCCCAAGTCCAACATAGCTCTTTCAAAATGAATTCCACCAATGACACAAGGAATCGAGAACATACCTGGGTCCTTACATTTCGTGGGAAGCTTTCGTTGTAAAACAGCGGAGACATTCTCACTTACCTTAACTTTCTCACGATGTTTGATTTGCTGTTTTATCTTAACGGTGCACAACTCCTTCAAAAATTTTGCATAGCGGGGAACTTGCTTGATGGCATCTAGCAACGGGATGTTCACCTCGCATTTTCGAAACGTCTCATAAATATCTCGGATAGGCCCGTCTTTCTCATGTCGAACCCATGCCTGTGGGAAAGGTGGTTCAGGCTTATACTCGGAATTGGTCAGCTTCTTCTTAGCCTTCTTGCTCCTCTCTTCAGCTCCCAGATCAGTTTCTTTCTCCAGTTCAGTTTTACTATGAACATGGTCAGCGACATGGCCATGTTGGTTATCCGAACCTGCTGCTTCAAACTGCTGTGGGTGTGAATTTTCCTGTATCTGCTCCGACTCTTTGCCACTTATTAAGATCATGGAACTCACATTCTTAGGGTTTACCTCAGGTTGAGAAGGGAGTTTTCCACTAACTTGTTCCTCCAAACGATTCACAGAGGTCGCGAGCTGACTTACTTGAGTTTCAAGGGTCTGGATGCTCATCTTTGTTTCCTTTTGAAATTGGATAGTACTGGAGGCTAGTTGCTTCACAATGTCTTCTAGAGAGGTGCCAGAATCAGCACTTGGGGGCTGCTCGGGTGGTGCTTGTCTACGAAATAATTGAGGGGGACGTTGCTGGAAACTCCCACCATGGTTCGGGCCAGGCTGCTGGTAAAATGAGTTCCCGTACCTCAAGTGTGGGTGATCGCGCCAAACGGGATTATATGTACTCGAGAATGGATCATATTGCTGCTTCCTGGGAAAGTTCCCATTTATATCGACTGCATTCGCATGTGCCTCGATTTCACTCTCTATCACAGGACAAGAGTCGGTATCATGATCGGTGGTGGCACATATTCGACAAGGCTTCACTTGCTTCATTCCTCCAACAGATAAGTGTTTCACCAAAGTTGTTAGTTCCATAAGCTTTTCCTCTACAACAGAGTTATTTGCTCCCGTCCCCGCTTTAAGTGTCACATCGTTACGGGTGCCAAATTGCTGTGAGTTTGCTGCCATGGTGGAATATACGACTCGCTTCGGCCGGTGTCTTATCGACAAGAGCTCCACCACTTGCAGCATCGACCATGTTTATGTCCATCAATGCCAGGCCCTCGTAAAAATATTGGATCAGTAGTTGCTCGCTGATTTGATGTTGCGGGCAGCTCGCGCACAATTTCTTGAAACGCTCCCAATACTCTACAAGTTTTCCCCATGTAATTGTCGCACCCCGCATATCTCCTTACGTATGTTGGCAGCTCGGGATGCTGGAAAGTACCTCTCCAGAAAAATTCTTTCCATTACCTCCCATGTTTCAATCGAGCCCGACGGAAGGTAGTAAAGCCAATCCTTAGCCGCATCCTTCAGTGAAAAAGGGAAGTCTCGCAACTTGATTTGTTCTTCTGTGATACCTTTTGGTTTCATGCTTGTGCAAACCAAGTGAAGCTCCTTCAAGTGCTTGTATGGATCCTCGCCTGCATGTCCATAAAACGAAGGTAAATAATGAATTAGCCCTGATTTCAATTCAAAAGTAATGTTATCATCTATAGCAGGAAAAGTAATGCAAAGGGGCTGAATATCAAAATTAGGAGCTGCCAGCTCCTTTAATGTTCTATTCGCATTTGCCATCTGGACCACGTCCAAGTCCTTTTGTAATATCCCAACTACTTATCAGTATAGATTATATTTTTTAGTTCCGATATTGTTTTTCGGAATTAATTATTTTCAGTTATTTCAGTCGAAATTACCGGAAAATATTTTCGACGTACCGTTTATGTTCGAAATAATTTTGGTAATTTAGTATTATGCTTAATTGAATAATTAAGCAATTAATGGCGATTAATTGGTAATTAATCTCAATTAGCTAAGAATAGTGCTATCTTCAAGCTAATAGCCGTGCGGTTTATGTGTGTTTGGGAGTGAAGTTTAGTCCAAGATTCCTTCTTTAGTCATGCTAGAATGCCGTGCGTTTTTGTTGTGTAGCATGTAGGTGTTTTGTTCCAAATTTCCCTTCTCATTGTCTTCAAATGCCGTGCACCCCATTGTCTCTTTGCTAGTTATTAGTCCAAGATTCCTCCCACCTTGTCATGTAGTGCATTTGGTTCAATTTCCTTCTCTTCATTCCAAAATGCCGTGCACATATTAGTGGGATTTTGTCAAGCATTTCCTCTTCATTTTGTTGGCATATTGCGTGAGTTTTGAGGCAAGAAGACATGCATGCCACTTTTGCTTTTAGTGTGTGGTGTCCTAGCATCTTCTAGCATGTGAGACAAGTGTCCATAGCATTGACCATATGTTCCTCCCTAGCCTCTCCTTTCGGTTTTATATGTTAATGAGGTGATAGTGGAAA